TTTTTTTGTTAATTTTTATTTTGCCGACATGTGTGGGGTTCACATATTATGAGCAGCAGCCCATTAGGTTTGCTTGACGAAAATGCCCTTCACTGTCAAATTTATTATTGGCTTCCCTCCAGATAAGGCCAAACTTCTTCCCTCGGCCTTTGGACAAAAAACAAAATCTTTATTTATGACCTCCTTAGTTTGGTCAAAATCATAGGGCTGGCTGGGTTACTATTTTTATCTGCCATTCACACCACGTTCATACATACTTTAATCATTTACCCCAACATCTAACTCCAAAATTTTGTGTCATGCTCGCTATCTCTTAATTTTACTCCTGCATCTCAAGTAGCTACATTTTTCTGCTGATATTTTCTTTTATTTTTTTTAGAACATCACTTGTGAGTTGTCCCACATCAAATATGCAGAAAAATTAGACTTAATTTATAAGATCTGTAGCTCCACCTTCTTTCACTAATTAATTTTGGGATGAAACCTCATTTGAGCTTCATCTGAGTTTTTCTTGTTATTGTACGCTTCATGTGCGTAGGACCGCACTCGTATCTGTGTTCTCTCGTTTCTTACCATTTTACATAATACATTAGAATACTCCCCGTTTCTTACAATTTTACATAATACATTAGAATAACGAGGTAGAAAAATAAATTCGACAAAATCAAATATGGTAAAAACCATCTACCTGCTCGAGTTATCCGTAACGAACTCCATCGACCTGCCACTGAGGTTGAAAATAAATTCGACATAACCAAAATCAACTAAAGATCATCGACCTACCACCGAGGTCTGCGCAGTGAACTCCATCAACCAACAATTGAGGTCAAAAAATAAATATGACAAAATAAAATCAAGTAAAAATCATTGACCTGCTTCCGAGGCCTCCAATAAACTCCGTGTCTTCAACGAACAACACTAGGATCGACCACCCAACCCGAATGCGTAGTCATGGTGGATTTTTTCTTCGACTACTTGCCCACCCGAAATGTGGCGCACCAAAACAGATGACCACCCAGCTCGAAGGCCTTAGACATGGTGGATTTTTTCTTCGACCACTTGCTCGAATGAAATAGGGCGTACCAAAACAAGTGACCACCCAGCCACATGGCCTTAAACATGATGGATTTTTTTCTTCAGAACATCTCCACCACTAAGGTCAAAGAGAAACACAACAAGATAGAATAGTAATCGATCATTTTCGTTAGTTTCACCAAATGTATAATTTCATCGAACGAGATAATCATAAAATACATCAAGAATATTTTTCGACCTCCCATTCCTGTGTACACGACGACCGGAGTTGTTGTTTGCTCCATGCTTTCCACTTCTCACCATAACCAATATCCAGTTCACCTGCTAATGTATATTCCTCAGCAAGAATTCAAAAAATACCATTAGTCGTATTTTATCCACATCCTCCAAATTGCAATTCCAATCGCAATAATAACAAGAGATGAATAAATCAAAACAAACATATTAGTCCACATGTTTTTGTACCACACCTCAATCAACAAACAAGCATCTTTACCATGATATAAAATCACGTAAACACTCACTCAAAGGCAAAGTCGACCAGAATTTCACAAAACCATGGATTCAACAAGCAATTGCAACAAACCATACTCCGCAGTTACAAACAACCATTAAACAAATGCACCAACCGAAAATTCAAATGAGTTACTCCCAATACAAAGCTCCACGCAAAAAACACAAGCGATCAAATACAAAAATCAACATCTTCTCGATTTAAGATATGCTCGGGTAATGACATGCGTAAAAAATTATAAATAATCAATCCAAAAAAAATTTCACATTTTTACATGAAAATCTGAATGAGAGGTTCTGAATATATCAACATATCAAATCATATAATTTTAATCCATCACTTTGAGTCCACCGATAGATATTGATAAATGCAACAAACACACGATAACGAAATATCCTCAATTCGAAATCACGACTCGCATTTATTTCCAAACAAACTTGCTCAATAAGGGTATTGCAAAATATAGTTCGTCTCTCCAAATGCAACGAGTAAATCAAATAATTTTCTTCACGAATAAACCAAATATCTCCACGAATAAACCAAATAATTTTCACGAATAAATAAAATAATGTTCACGAATAAATCAAATAATCTCCACGAATAAACCAAGTATTCCATGGATAACTAAAATAATTTCTCCATTCTCTCCAGTTTAAAAATCCTTAGAGTCCATAATTTAAATGAACCATATACATTCACCACGATAATGTTACCTAAATTTACATCTCCGTCCGCGTTGAATCATCCCGAATTAGTCTTAGACACAAAATGAGGATGTTGGACCAAACCAGTAGCACTCTGAGCCGCGCTGGAGGATTTTTTACACCAAATGGGCCTCGTCTAAAGAGCTGGGCCGCGGCTGTGCACTTGGGCCTTCACACTGGGCCGGGTGGAGGGGCTGAAATGGGAGCGGCTCGCGAGGGCTTGTAGCGGGCTGAAAAAAGTAGAGAATTGAGCTGTAGTGCAGCTGGCGCGCGGATGTAGAGCGGTCCGCGCACTGGAGCAGATGGGGTTTGTGCAGTGCACTGGGCCTCCTTACTGGGCTCGACCCTCCTTATAGGGCGCGTTCGCTGGGCCTCCTTGCTGAGCTCGACCATCCTTGTTGGGCTCATTCGCAGGGCCTCCTTGATGCGACGGGATGCTAAAAAATCTCCAGACGGCGATGTTGGGATTAATGAAGATCTCGTTATGCACAAATCACGAATTTAATAGCAAAACGTAAACCTATGCGCAGCGGATCTAAAGGTTTGCGTAGAGAACTTACGGCTTAATATTTATGGCGATCTGGCTTATTTTCTGGATGGCCGTACACAGCACACCAATAAATTGTTGACTGCAAATCGCGTCCTAGGATTGCACGAACAAGATCGGATAGAAAACCGGATCAAACGAATTCAAAACAGATGAAGACAAGTTGCAGTCCTGGGACCTTGCGGCGGCGCGTGCGGGCGCGTGGATGGTCGGTCGGCTGAGATCTCGGCGGCGTTGGAAAGCTCTTGTCGAGACGGTCGTCTGGGTATGCTGCACGTCTTGATCGGGCCTCTGGTTAGTTCTGTACGACCAAATATATTTCGTCTCACTTTACCCAAAGGTCTTCTACTGTATATCTCAAACACCTCTTAATCTTGTACCAATGGAACAACAAGAAGAAGATAAAGTTCGAATGTGAACTGAGAGAGAGAAGAGAGGCGTGGGGCGTGATTTCCAAGATGTGGAATTCTCTTCTCTTCCCATGAGCTTAATGATGTATATATAGAGCTACAGTAGAGATCCTTAGGAGATTAGGATTAGGGCTCTTTAATTAATTAAAATACTTGGACCAAGCCACTTATTTTAATTAATTAAATAATATTTAATGAGCCACCAACATAATATTATTGCACTCCCTTTTCCTAGCCCAATTTACAGTTGAGACTCTAATAATAATTACTCGATTTATCTCCCCATGTTTAAGATATAATGCCCATTAATTAATTCGATTACTGACAATTAAGAATTAATTAATTTATTATTATTTCACCGAAGCTAGCGCTCGTTCATCACATTATTACTATGCCAGAATTTAATCCACCTGCAGGGTTTAGCATAATAATCCTTCATGAACTTACTCCGGGGACATCATCAAACTAAGGCACATGGTGACCGTAAATATCCTAACAACACATCCTACATGTAGCAATATTACCCAAGACAACGGGTCTATTGGCCCAGTTCACTAAGCCTTACCCATGTGAATCAAAGTAATAAATACTACACATATATGTCTGTTTAATAACTTATGGGTTAAGAGTACGCAGTAATTAACCGAGGCCTAGCTCGTTTACGACGATCAGTATAAAACGAACCGCTCCTCTCCGGGATCCTGTTCAATACATAAATGTACTAGTGCAACTAATCAGTCAAGACAAACTGTACAGTTGACACTACAACCGTTCGCGATGGGGTGTTCATGTCCATCTGGATTGTGAACCACTTATTCTTGTTTCGCGAGTAACTGATAGCATGATCTTCGGTTCGCCCGATGATGACCCACACTATCTAATGCAAAACAACAGAACGTAGAACTTGTTTAATCTAATATATTTCTCATTCATAAAGGGTAAAAGTGTAATATCATCAAAAGCCAAGTTTTCAGTATATAACACTAACAGACGACTGCTACTTGCTGGAAAAATGTCGTCGGCGAAAGGTTGTTGGCTCCGCCGAAGATGACCGGCCGAGGGTACGCCACGGCGAGGACAACTCAATGGTGTCTTTGGTTTGAAGTGATTTGTAAAAAATCAACAAAAATCAGAGAAGAAATCGGAGGTTGACCAATTTGTTCTTAGATCCAAGAACTTTAACAGACAAATCTAACGACCATTCTGGAGGAATTTTTGCTTGAAAATTTAAGAATAGGACGAGCATGAGAAGAGCTTCACGGTGCTACAAATTTATT